CCCCCCCCCCCTTCCCCCGTGCCAGGATGCCCCAAGCGCGCCCCCCGGCCGCTGGCGAGGCCACGCCAAAGCGCCCCCGATCAGGGTCCCTGGCCCCGCACGAGGAGGACCCTTCCCTGCCGGCCAACAAGCGCCTGTCCCTGCTGCCGCAAGATCTGTCACTCTCCGGTCTTGGGGATCCACTGGATCCCTTCCCTCAGCCGGTGGGCGGCTCGGCCGCGGCCGGGCGGCTGTCCATTGTGCCGGGGAGCTCGGGCGATCTGAACGCCCCTGGGGCCGCCTTCAGCCCGCTGGCCGGGGCCATGTTCGGCCATGGGCTGCACAGCTTTTCCCCGTCCCCGGCCTACCGCCAGGCCCCGGGCTTCGGGGCCGCCAGCCTGGCCGGGCGCCTGTCCGAAGCCGGGGTCCCTGCCGCCACCGGAGGGGCTCTGCGCGCGGTGGTCGGCTCGCCCTCCTTCGAGCGTATGTCCTTTTCCGGGTCATCCTTCGGCGGGGACCTGGACTCGGGGCATGAGGGCACCACGGGAAGCCCCGTGGGTCCGCTTTCGCCTGCGCGCGGGAGCCAGTCCACTGGCGTCCCGTTGGCCCGGGCCCCGGCGGCCGGGGCCGCCACCACCGAGCCGGTGTCCCCGCAGCTGAACTCCCTCCGGCAGTCGCTTCGATCGCTGGCCGACGTGCTGCCACGGCCCGGCAGCCAGTCGCTCGGCACATCGTTTGCCGGCGCCCCCGGGTCCGAGCAGTTGCTTTTGGACATGGATGCCGGCGTGGCCCAGGCGCCGGCCGATTCGGCCCCGGGCCTGGGTGCCGCCTCTGCCCCCCTGCCGCCACCCGCCGGGCAAGAGCCCCACCAACAGCCTGTCGGCTTCAGCATGGACAATCTGTCCGGCACGGTGAGCGACCTGATTGCCGAGCCGGCGCCCAATGTGTCCGATGGGGAGATGTCCCTCTTTTCGCAGGCCTCCATGGGGCTGGATGGCACCCACCAGCCCCTTGCCTCGTCTCAGCTTGGTGCGTCCTTTGTGGCTGTCCCGTGTGGCCCTTCCTTCGCGGCCGGTCGGTCTGCTGGCTGCTGCGCCGGTGGCCCTGTGTCCCTCCGTGTCTGCCCCTTCCCGGCTATTGACTCGGCTCCCTCGCCTCTCCCATGCTGTGTTGGCCTCCGCCCCCCCCCCTCCCCCCCTCGCCCCCTCGCCCCCTCCTCAGGCGACTCCATCCGGCATGCTCCGCCATCGCCCTTCCGGCCACGACGCGAGCTCCAGCGCTCGCCCCTCGGCCGGCAGGGCACAGCCACCGAGTCCTCCCTGGCGGCGGGCCGTGTGCCGATCGAGCATGACTCGCCGTCGGCTCAGCGCGGCGGCGCCCACCCGGTCGACCCGTTTGCCACGCAGCACAGCGAAGATCTCTTCGCCATTCCCGAGCCCTCGGCCAGCTTTGCCCAATCGCTGCCCAGTATTGGTGACCCGTCGGCCCTGGCGCCGAGCATCCCGCCCGCGGGCGCAGCCACGCGTGCCCCTTCGACCGAGGACCCCGCACGTCGGCACACCTTGGCCGGCTCCTTCCGGCCAGGAAGCAGCGCCGGCATCCCCACCCCCGGGGCCGCTGGCCGCCCCCCGGCGCCGCGCCCGGCAGCCGACCCATCGGCCAGCTCGTCTGCCTCCCGGCTGTCGGCCCACCTGGATGAGCTAACCGGGCGGCGGCATACTCTGGGCGGGTCCTTCCGGCCAGGCGGCAGCACCGGCAGCAGCAGCGGTGGCCATGGCACTGCCGGCCAGGCCCGTGTCAGCGATGACCCGGCCGGGCTGGGCCTTGATCCCGCGGTCCCAACTCGACTGTCGCTGGGCCTGGCCAGCTCGGTTGGCATCCCCCGGGCCACCAGCCCGCTGACCCTGTCCGAACTTGACACCCTACCATCGTCGTCGTCGTCGTCGTCGTCGTCGTCGTCGTCAATGGCGGCAGCGGCGGTGGCGGCGGTCCCGCCGGCGGCCAGCGCCCCCCGGCCGCGTGGATCCATTGCCCACCCGCTCGGCGCATCTTCCAGCCGGGCCGCGCTCGGTGCCTCGATGTCCGGCCTCGGGGCATCGCAGTCCAGCTCGGGCGTGAGCGCGCCGCCGCGCCTTGCCGCGAGCTTCGGCATTTCGCAGCTGCCCCCGGGCGGGCCTGCCTCCGCCCGGCCGGTGGACGACATGGCATCCGAGCAGCACCCTGCTCGTGCGTCTTTGGCCCGGTCGTCATCCTCGGCATCCCTGTCCGGGTCGGTCCGTCCGCCAGCACCGGCGGCACTCGGTGCCAGTGGCCAGGG